CCAGAATGCATCCTGTTTATTGAACTCAGAAAAGATCTGAAAGCTTGATACTAATTGTTTATGGGACAACACAATAAAGTATGAAAAATGTCAGTCCTAAATAGAAGGGAAGTTATTTGTTTGGGTCTCAAATAGGGGGTCTACGTCAACGTTTAGAACTTCCCATCGGATTTTGCATTGGTTATCTCAAAAGTATTGAGCCTAATTAAGTATAAACCCCGTTAATCTGCGAGTCAAAGCAAAGGAAACTTTAAACTGATTAGAAACGCTTTCAAATATCTGGAAAGRAATGAACTCTCTTGAATTGACACCCAGGGCATGCATAAGTGCATTTAACTCTATAATTGCAATGCATTGTGCCGCCTACTACAAGTGCCTCGTGCCGGATACTCCATGTTTCTTAATGGTATAACACGCAAAACCATCGCATATCTGAGTAAATATATTTATATATTTGACAAATTTGTTATAATTCAAAGCGTATTAAAGTCATTAAAGCCTGCCTTTACTAGTTAGGGTACATCTGACACGTTGGCAGATGTTGGTATTTGGAAGGAAAACGGTACGAGAAATTAGCCAATGAGTGAAAACGATCATAAAATGTGCTTAAAGGACTAGTAGAGGAGTTTCGTTCAAGCGAATGGTAAGGGTTTGTAAAAAAGACAGCCGGCGATCCCTCTGAATGGGGYATACTCATTCTTGCGGGTGCTGTCAACGTTGTCGTTACCAAGCGGTTGGCTATTTCAAGTTCTTCGGGTYGTGTGTACCCATCGTCAAAGGTTTTTCTTCGGCATTTGTATCGGTAATTTTGGAACCAAGTCTTTACTTGTTTAGGAGAAAGATCCAATGATTCTGCTAGCTTTTTTCGACCTTCAGCAGATAGATATTTTTGCTTTGCGAACACGCTTTTTAAAATGTCGACCTGTGATTGTGTGAATAGTATTCGCCTTCGCCTTCTTCTTTGGTATTTGTCATCTTTTTGTAGTGTCTGCTGGTCGAGTTTATCTAAAACAAAATATGTAGAAGAAATAATCAGTTTTTGGGTGACAAGAAAATTGCAAATTTGTTAAGCCATCGATGAAATTTTGCACTGAGAAAGTTCATTTAAGATCTAATGYTTTAATTTTTCTCTGTATCGTAATGAAAATTGCAAGCACGCATAARGATAGCTAAGACTGAATGTTTCAGCAGAAGCGTCTATTCACCATAATATTCACTATCAATGCAATGATCCTATCAGACCATAGTTGATCTTAATCTTAAAAATTCTTTATATGATAGACGTTGCAGCTTTTTGCTGCAATACATAAATCTACACCAAACTTGTATCGTTTATCGCAGCTTTAAACGCCATAGGCAAGCATCAAATATTTTTTTAGATGGCGTTTGAATTCTAAAAACTAGCATGCAAGGTTAAAAAATTGTCAGTCAATCGATACAGAATCAGAAATGAAACTTTGAGAACAGGCTAACATTTTTATTTCCGAATTTGTTCGAGAATATAATACTGATATGAACTCAGAGTTTGTTAAATTTCTTTGGCCCACCACACTATACATATATAACATCTGTACTGTTCGCTTCTAGCTCGGGTCCCATTAAAAGCTATCAGAAAAAATATCAAAACAAAAAATAACAAAAAATAACTAAAATGGCATGCACCAATTCAACTGAATTATTTCGGAATCCCGAAACAACAACAACAACAACAACAACAACAACAAAAAACGTTTGGTCTCATCAAAGGGCCTTTAACAAAGTCAGGGCACGGCTATAACTAACTCAAGAATATTGAATTGCCAGTCAAGTTCAGAATTTGTTCCATGTTTAAGTTCCGCATAACAATAACGGTGCATGTAGCATCAACTTAATAACATTTTACCTTCACCAGAAAGATCAGRCAAATCCTGCTCTCGTAAAGATTGCTGCTGCTGTTCTTCTTTTCGAAGACCCAAAAGGTTTTCAACCGAAAACGGAAGACGATGAACAGCCTGTAGTGCACTCATTGGTAGCCGCTGGGTGTGGTGGTGCGATTCGATGAAATCCTGAGCACTACTTGATAAGAGATCAAATATTTTTGAGATTGGGTTACTTAACTGTTCACTCTCTAAGGACTCGCTAAGACTCGTAAAAAGGTGCTTTTGAGTTGAAAATCATTAAGTACTCGGTTCTTCTGGCAATGCTACTTTGATGGTCTTTTTGTAAATCATTGAATGCGATTGGCTGACCAGTTTCACTCGTTGATTTTAGTTGTCAACTTCCAGYCAACAGGTTGTGTACAGTGGCTCAGTCTACACGTGTGCAATACCAGTCAAATAAGCGTGCTTTCTCGCGTTAAGAATTAATCTCCTTGTTTTACATGAAGTTGATGCTCTTTAAACAATAATTCAAGCCGCAGTCTTCAAAGAGGGAAAATCCAAGCAAATACACCAATGGCTTCAGTATCTTCACTGACAATATCTTTTTTTCTGTAAATCAATTCTTTATTTCAGTTAATGAACTATATACTGTCAAGTAATTAGATTTAATAAAGCCGTCAAATTGAAATAAATGATGTTTTCTGGTGCCGTACTGTTCGCCGTGAAAGAAAAACACAAACGTAATTAGAAACAGCACAAACTGATGAACTTGCGTTCCACCCCATGGAAAATTAAAAGTTTGCTGGTGCAAACACACAGGTAACATCACACATCAGAGTTGAGTCCTAAATGTAATTTAAATGACCGCAAACTAGTTTTGCATGTGTCGAGTTCGATCAGGAATGGTCTATTCTAGTGTGGTTATCTTATGGGTCGGTGTAAGGGACAGGTTAATTTGCATTGTTGGTTGGCTATTGCGTTGGGCATTTCTATCTTCGTAGCTTTCTCAAACACTCAGTGTCTTCGCACTTGTAGCTAGCTTCCCCCATATCTTACCACCCAGAATATGTCAGGAATGAATAACCGAAAAGCTTTTGACTACATTTCTCTCTATTTTGCAATTTATCTCATTTTAACTAAGTGTGACTAGCTCCCTGTCGCAAAGGCTGTGCGCAGTCTTTGAGCGCGGTTCATATAAATATCATCAAACAGTTTTAATAATGTGTCTGAACTTGACTATATGCGCTTAGCGAATAATCCAAAACAATCCAACGATTTGACAGATGTATATGTAATCAATCAGAAATCTTTAGAAATAAATTTTATAGTATTTTTACAAGTTAATATAGGTTGCTTCATGATGTTTGCATAAACAGGTTGCGGAACGTGGACAGTCGGAAAGCCAAACCTAATTGAACTGAATCTATAGATATAAATTTTCTATCCGAGTATTGGGCGGCTTAACTCAGGCAATACACTCGTCCAATTTGCAGACTTTGAACCAATAATTTTAGCCAAGTGTCGATCTGCTTTGGTATCAACAAAAAATAAGTTTGAAAATAAGTTTGAATCGTCAACTTACAGGTGTAACTTTGTTCACGTTAATGAATGAACATCAATAGAATAACTAAAGATAACCTTGTCCATTCATAGTGTAGCACAAAGTATTTTCTACCGAAGAGAGACACCTATCCATTATCATTATGATCGACTATCTGGGCGGTTCATTGCTCTAAACCAGCAAAGCAGTACCGCGACATTCAGTCAAACTGGTTGTCGATGTTAAAAGCGGAAGAAATCTAGTTTATAAGAAAATGTTACAGTAACGCTACACTGATTCGATTGTGATCATATTACTAATGATTACGCCTTGCTAGCTAGTGACTCAATATTTATTTGGACGTTCGTTCGAGCATCAACCAGCACTAAATGATCTATCTACAGCTATCCATTATAGAAAAAAGTTGTTCATAGTTATTAAAGACTCATGGTGTATAATAGTGAGGCAAGGCTATAAATTGGGTCACATGATTTGACCTGTTTATATATACATTTGTATATATTGCTCTCACATASAAGGAGTTGAATGAGTATTACAATAACAATGACTGTAAAACTACTTTTAAAATGGTTCTATATAGTTTTACGGTGCGCGCCGCACGAGCATGCGCAGTACCCGCAAATTGAATAATTCTTATTTTGATGAGGTCATGAAGGGGTGTCTTGCGTTTTTTCTCAATAACGTTTGTTTTGTACTATGGAAAGCGTTTTATCCATCAAAATCAAAAGTCCGCAGCATTATCTTAGTTTGATTCTGTAGTACCTAATCTTTTCATTTTTTTGTCACATGAAAGTTATGCTAATGAACTTAGTGTCGTAAAGTTTAGTGTGGTAAAGTTAGTCTGTATTAGTATAGCCTAAAATGTTGTTTCCTAACTGTTTAGTATTTCTTCAAAACCCTATGAAAACCCACAGATGAAGGCAAAAACGGCCTTCATTTGACGACGATACTCAGTAAGAAGAATAAAAATACTTTAATTAATATTTTGTAACAAATTATTTGGGTAATTTAAAGTCTTGATAACCAGCAAGCAGTGAACGCAGTTGTATACCGCACATGGGGCATGGTGAAGCTAGCTCGTTTCTGATTACAGAAAGAAGAAGAAGAAGAATGAACAAAATATTTCTATTTGCCCTATTTATAAAGGAGATTTTGAAGATAAGATATGCTGCTACCTTACGAAATTAGTTGAACCGTATAGCGCCAATAAGAAGGTCAAGAAACAGGTTAAAAAAAACCAAGCCTTGCGTTTTTTCGTCCACTTTTCCCTTAATGAAAACGTATCAAGCTATTTTTGAATAAGCCACTTTTTTKGGGGCTCAATACAACCATCATCTGGAGTCTTGTTTGTAGGCGGCGTGAGAGATTAACAGATCCACGTGGTCTTGGGCAACATTGTTTTTACAACTGTTTAAATAAACAGGTCTCGCTATAACTATATAACTGCTAAACTATTATAAATGAAGAAATGCCTTTTTTTAAGAATACAGATAATAAGAGTCTAATGAAATTAATGGGGAGTCAAACATTTCAAGCCTGCTGGAAATCGATCCACGCGGACATGCCACGGTGTCGCACTATAGACGGCTAATTGAAAGGCAATGGATTCAGACGCTTTTTTCAGGGCTACCTTCCTTAATGCATGACATTTTCGCGGCATGTTAATTTTGCGATTTCAGACTGAGGTCGCGTATTTCGTGATGCTTTCTTCCCCACGATTTTGCAACGACCAACAACAACAACAACAAAAACAACAACAAGCAAACAAATAAACAAAAACAAAAACAAAACAAAAACAAAAACAAAACAAAAACAAAAACAAAACAAAAACAAAACAAAACAAAAAACAAAAAAAAACAAAAAACAAAAAAAAACCAAAACAAGCAAACAAATTAACAACAGAAACAACACCATATTATAAGTCACTTTCGGATTTCGAATTCGCGAGGATTTTGAGTGGCTGTCCTTATACATCAATGCAGATGTTTACTTATTTATAGCGGATGAACTCTACGAAACCTTTATTTCCATAATTTTTGCTTGTAATCGGTCGGTGATCAACTTGCGCGGTCGGTGTCAATTCAAGAGAGTTCATTTCTTTCCAGATATTTGAAAGCGTTTCTAATCAGTTTAAAGTTTCCTTTGCTTTGACTCGCAGATTAACGGGGTTTATACTTAATTAGGCTCAATACTTTTGAGATAACCAATGCAAAATCCGATGGGAAGTTCTAAACGTTGACGTAGACCCCCTATTTGAGACCCAAACAAATAACTTCCCTTCTATTTAGGACTGACATTTTTCATACTTTATTGTGTTGTCCCATAAACAATTAGTATCAAGCTTTCAGATCTTTTCTGAGTTCAATAAACAGGATGCATTCTGGCCTTACGTTGGTACTAGAACACAATGCACCTAACTCACCATCTCCGACTGCCCCCCCCCCCTCAATGTCCCCCCTCCTCAATGCCCTCCCCCCCTTCAATGTGAACAAATGAACTGCTACAAGATAAAATCAGGATGTCAATTTTATGTGAACTTCACAGTGAAAATTTACAATATTTTATAGTAGTTTTTTTCTATTATTTAAAAACATCACAAAATCAACACAAAACAATTTWAAAAAATTAAAAAATCCAATATATAACAATATGTACAAGTTTAACAAACGTTTAGGACAAAAATATTTCGTTACAAAATAGATACAAAAATAGGTTTCTTCACTGAAAAATTCTATTTTTGCACAATACTATTGTAAAAAACAGATAAAGATTTCTACCAATTGGAGACTTTAACAATAAAAAGAATTCGCGATTATTAATAAAGATGGCTTTGAATGGAAATATATTTAACATTTATGGACTTCTTTCAAAACTTTCTTGGATGCRAGGTTAACAGGACCCCTATATGAAAGAAAAGCTACAAATACTATTGAGAAAATGGGTATTTCTTTTGGATCTTCCTATTCACCTTATATCCAATAGTTTTGAAAGGGCTCTATTGTCCAGTGGTTAATCAGAGATGCCAGAAGTTCTAGAAATCATGGAAAACATTTTGCTAAATTATCCTTCTTTTGAAGAAATATCTGGACTAGAGTGATTTTACTTGACCTTTTAAAAAYGTTTTTTGAGGTCGTGATGAAAAACAAAAGAAATTGTTATATGTGTCAAAGTCCAATTTCTCTCTCTTCTCATTGGCCTAGAATGTGCCATGTGATGGTCATAAAAGTTCACTATTTCAGTCTAAATAGGCAAATTACACTATAGCATCATTAATACTACCACTACCAGAACCCCGTGCACACTTTTTTATTCAGTTCTTTAGCATCAATTGTCATGAGGAATACTAAATGATTTTGGTAGTGGTAGGTAATGATAGCATCATGCAAATAACCTATTGTTGAATAAATTCAAAAGAAAAAATCTTATTGGTAACTTTAACAGTCTCTTCTATTGTCAATTAGCCTAATGTATAATGTTTACAGGTTAGATAAAAACAGTCTTCTAGTCACTCTGATTACCATTTATTTTAGTTCATTGTAAATTTATAGATTAATTTTACTTACATTAATGTAATCCTATGAAACAGAAATTACAGTTTAAAGAAAACAATGGCTTAGTATGTAACACATTTGTTTATGCTACTTTTAATAATTACTGTTTCATGGGTGAAGTAGACACCTTCAAGGCCACCCAAATTAGCCAATCACAATTGATATGTTCAAAAGCATATATTTTGCTTCATAATATGCGTGTGTATGATCAGGAGTGAACTAGAAACTTTTTAAACTCCAGAATTTGTCATGAACCTGTTATTAATCAGCATTAAAAATGTGATTTGTGAATTTGATTTCAAATTTGTTTGGGTGGCCTTGGTAAACTTATTAGCACTGTAACTCTAGAGCATCATAAATTGATATCAGGAATATCAATTGTTGTATTCTATATTCTCTTTCTTCAGTCTAATCTGCATTGCATATAAAATAAAAGTATAGATTTTTGGGGAGTAAAAATATGATTATTATTATTATTATTAAAATTTATCTGGTGTRAAAAGTGAAAATTCATTTAACAATAATAGTGGTTATATAAAAAGAAATAGAGTCTTTGCACCATCACATGATGGCAGCCATGATAGAAGGCAGGTCTAGTCTGTTTCACATGAGAAAGGATTCACTTTCCCAGGGAGGAAATGCTCTATTTTTGTGCCTCGATCCTGTCATGGCTGCCAACTATGATGCAAACTCTCTATAGAATTAAAAATTTCATGTTCTTAATTTCATCATATTTATTGATATTCTGCTTAAGAAATGTAGAGCAATTTTCATTTTGTTTCATTCATTCAATAACAAGTATAGTATCAAAAGCAAGAAGCACAAAGAGAAGTATCAACAAAGTTGTGCAGCAGTAATTGTTAATGCTGTTACAATTACCCTGCCTATCTACATCCTACTGACAGTGACYGTCACCAACAACACACCTTAATAACACATCTTACTTAATACCTGGTATTGGAATTATAGTAAACTAAGAACAGCCCAATTTAGTCTTTGCTATTACATTATTAGAGTGCATGGCCAGCCAAACACAGACTGAAATAAGGTTCTGTGGCAGCATCAATGGTTAAGCATAACAAAAAAATGATGGAGTTGCCAACTACTGGTAGAACAAAGCTCATGAATGGATAAAATAACAATGTGTATTGCAAGCAGGGGGGAGTTCGAAGGAGTGAACAAACCTTCCCTGACTCTCTTAATTTTTTCAACATTATTTGAACTATAAAAAATGTCAAATACGAACCCCCCCCCCTCTAAGGTTCCGGCCATAAAACGTTATTAAAATGACAGTGTGTATTGCTTCATATGTCATTGTTCCTTGCGCTATTAAGGCTTTGCTTCAACATTTTTTATTACTTTACTCAATTATATAAGATTTATTCTACTGGGTTGGAAGTGGATTCCCCAGACAATGTGACATTTTATAAAAGATTATGAATTACTTGCTCGGGTGAAGTGATAAAAATTTGCAGATTACATAAAAAGTTTTATAAAACATATGATAGAGTTGATATAAAAGAGCCATTGAATCAGATTATATTCAATGTAGTGGGCAACATTCAATTCAATACAAAATGTATAATATTTAAATTACTCTTTGACTTTGGTAATAAAAATAGATCAATTCTATGTATAAAAATAGACAGTAATCCAATCTATGGATTATTTGCATAGTGACAAAAACTTGCCTACTAACTTGGGAGCTTCTTCAACATACTAGCTTTGGTCAATACTTGGATGCCTATAGTTGTTTGTGTGGTGTACTGTCCGTAAGTATGCACARACGTCATCCGTATCACGCAATGCTTCGAAGAAAGGAATAAGGTTAAGAAGTTCGATATCCTTTGGATCATCAAACCATGATACAACAGGGACCTGAGAAAAAAGAAAGAAATGTTACGCATAAGTATAAAGCTGCCAGTGAAGGGAAAATAATGTATTTGATCTATATCCATCCTGTCACCATCATCAAGAGATCAACAACCAACTAAAAGACATGGTAGACTTAAACACATACATTAGAATAATCAACCATATAAACTTAAAGTGCTACTCTGACAAAAATCACTCAAACTTGGATTCAGCTGAAACTTCCTAAGAATACTCTTTAAAGGTCCAATAATCACTGAATGAAGTGTTTTCTCAATATTCAGGACGAAAGTGTGATATTTTTATGATTATTTTTTGGAGTCTGTGATGTCATACACTCAACATCGATATTGAGAAAACACTTCATACAGTGATTATTGGACCTTTAAAGAGTATTCTTAGGAAGTTTCAGCTGAATCCAAGTTTGAGCGATTTTCGTCAGAATAGCACTTTAAATGATTTTTATAAATTTCGGTATTTTCATTTATTCATTTTACAACCATCACTCCTAATGCATGGTCCTCTTCCATGAAGTCCTCTCCACACACACACTACCACTACATACAACACTCAACTTACAAGTTGATTTTTACAGATGGAGGAAAACTGGTGAACCCGGAGAAAAACTCTCATGGCAGGGGGATGGGGAGTCATTGTTTTTACAAGGGTAGCACTTAATAGCCAGTGGCTAGTAAACCTGTTGACCTCATCATCACATTGGAAATTGGGGGGGGGGGGGCGTCATTAAGAATTGTAAATAGGAAATTAGGTTCAGAAACGACTTACAGCATTTTCTGGATGAAAACTGTATGATGCTGGTGAATTATCAATTATAAGACAATGCTTTAAATCTCTCCCCAATTTGCTTAAATCCTGTGAAAAAAAGAAAGAAAGAACATCTTAGATAAGCTTCTAGAATTTGTTTTACCTTTTTTAGACAGACAAAACGTGGGTATTGAACAAAATCATTTGAGTCTAGCTTTTTGAGTGCTTGTGAAACTAACCAAGCAAAGAAAAGTTTATATGAATATCTTCATTATCAAGTCACTTCTAGAATATACTGAATACAATTTGAACAATGTTGTTCAACTGACACCCACTTAAGCCAGYCCAAATACCTTAATGAAATAATCAGATGCATCAATTGAGATCCAGGGCTAAACACAATGGCTGATCAATCAGTAATTTGGACAAGATGACCAGCTGCATCATTGAACTAAACAACTTATGATAAGTCCAGTTAAAGAATGGCCTAAGAGGTATTTGGCTGATATTTGGTTGGATGTTGTCTGTTGATCTCCTATTATTTTCAGCCCTGATATTTTATCGATATTTATATTTCTCCATAAAAATACAACTTATATATAAATAAATAAATAACGAAATTGCTGAGATGGAGGCATTCAAAAGGGCTGAAGCACCATGTTAGAGATGCCCCCATATGTAATTAATCTAGTCTACAAATAAAAACTTTGAAACTATAATATTATAAAGAGCAAAGGAAATGAAATCATGCAAAGTCATTACCAACTTGTACCAAAAGCAAAAAAAAAAGTGAGAGAGAGCTAGTAGCTGTGATGATTTTTTATAAATATAAAGTTAACTTAAATCTTACCTTGACATAGTTTCCTCTGTGAAATACACAAGATTCTCTAAAAAGACGAGCCTTGAAGGTCCCATACTTATCTAACAAGTCAGCCACTGGATCAGCATACTACAAGAAAATAAAATATTCATTGTGTAGTTCCAAAAATTATCCATACTCCAAGTCCAATTCCCTGACCTTCTTTGTCAAGTTTATGAAAAACAAGGTGGCACCTAGACTGTTAATAGTCCCTTTCAGAGTTATTTTGACAGATAGGAATAAAAATTTCAGACTTTTGGATTTTGAATTATTCTGGTTACATTAGCAGTTATCACAAATTTGATACACTTATTTCAATAAAGTTAGTCACCTGAAAAGCTACAAAGCTGAGACCAACAAGGATTATGGGTAGACACATTTTACATGTTTTAACCGCTTGATAACTGTTGTTGGACTTGAGATCTTCTACCAGTTACAAGTTAACCTCCTGTGTATGAGTATCCTCAACTGCTGCAGTTTGTGTCAAAAGCTTTACTTGTTGGATATAAAACATTTCCCCATGATTCTCAGCRATCACAGCTTTCTAGGTTTTTGGTGACTAACTTTATTGAAATAAGTATATACAGTAGAATCCTGTTATCCCAAACCTCCCAAAGAGACCAGAGAAAAGGTTTGAAAAAATGGGAATTCAAGATAACCAGGGGAAAATTTACACTGACGCAAGTGGAATCCTGTTATCCCAAACCTCCCAAAGAGACCAGAAAAAAGGTTTGAAATAATGGGAATTCAAGATATCCAGGGAAAAAAATAGACTGATTCAAGTCCATATGGTGTGGTCTCAAGCTCAAGATAACAAAAAGTTCAAGAGCGGTTCGAGATAACAGGAATCTACTGTAATTATATAGTAAAATATTCAGTATTAAAGATTAGCCTACCTTTGCTAAGCTAGCAGTAAAAAGTACACATTCAAATAGTTCTCCCATCTTCTTTAAAAACTCATCTACATGAGGTCTTTTAAGAACATATACCTAAAAAAAATTTTCAATAATTATTAAGGGTCTTCGCTGTAACTCCACAATAAAAGCATCTTTCCTCATATATATATATATATATATATTCTTGTTTTCCTTGTATTTCCATGGAAAATAATCACAAAGGCACGGCAACCATATTGGTGTGCATTAACTTTTATTAATTGTATAGCAACATAACCATATGCATCATGAAGTCAAATGAAAGCCATGAAATTATCATGACTATCATGACTATCATAATCATCACCATCATTGTTAAATAATAATAACAATATTATTATCAAATTATTATTAATAATAATAATAATTATTATTATTATTACTAGCATTACAATCAGTGTTAATTTAGTCTAAAGTTCTGAATTAAATCTTCAACCCCCCTTTTTTGCTTGGTGCTGGTGGGACTTTGTCGTTTGCTTTACACTTCAATCATAAAAAGACTACCCATTCTCTTAAAATAAAGAAGTATGACTGACTTGTGGCAAGTCTAATATTTATAAAGCTAACTATAAAAAAGGAATATCAGTACTCCATATGTACTGTACCTGATGAACTGTGCCATCAATTTCAACAGGAACTATAAAATCTGCACCACTTACAGGCTGAAAACAAATCGAGAATAACTGTTAAAAAGCTTTTCAAAGGATTCAAATTTACTGTCCAGAATAGATTTTGTTGTATAAATACAAAAAGTCAATGTTTGGTGTATCCAAATTCTAGCATAATAGGGAAGCTTTCTGGAACAAAAAAAAAATTAAACAACTTGTGAAACTGACAGTCAATGAACCATGCATGTAAAATAATATTTTTCATGCTGACAATGCAATTCCAAATTTCATTGAGGTAAAAAATTGTATCCTTTATGGCATGCCCACTTTGAGGTTTCAAMATTTGAAAAGTTTAATCACTTAAAAAATTTTTTCTGCAAAATTTTTGTTATCACAAAACAGTAATGCCACTGTTGTTGTGAGATCAGGGCTTGAAATAGCAGCCTGCCAATGGCCAAATGACAGGTCAAATTTCAGGTTTTCCAGGAGAAAATAAGGATTCACTGCCAAATGAATAATAAAATGGCATGCAAAATTTACTGGAATGACCTCCTTTTACCATGCTCCTTTACTATGGCAGGCTAAAAACGCTTTCTACATGTAATTTGAGCCCTGTGAGATGTGATGACCATTTTATGCTGCAAAAGGGAATCTAAATTTCTTTTGTCAGATCCAGTGCTGTGATATTTAAACAGAACATACTGTAGCATCCATGCACATGGATCCTCGGAACCCAGCAAGAAACGAGCAACAGAATTTTACTGCTGGATTCCCGAGGATATGATGCATATGTTGCCTTAGTATAAATCTTCAGTTGAAGATCATATTCCAAACATGCATACAGCAGCAAACATACAGTATTTTAGTTTGTTTAATTGAACTTTAGTTACAGTATTTGAGTAGAGTTGATTGTTGGTTTTCTCCCGTGTGGGGAGTTTTCTCTTGCTTTTCTGGTTTTCCTTCTGCAAAATCAACTTCTAATTTCCATTTTGATCATGGAATAAGGGCAACAGGTTTGTTATCCACTGGCTATTACAGTAAGTCTATTTTAAGTAAGTGGGCAGCTCATCCATACCACCCATTTAAAGGTATAAAATGGTCTTCATTGTTAGCAACAGCTTGTTTTTCCAAAAATTTTGACTTTATCTCAGGGTTTTCAATAAAAGTTTTGGTAGGTGTTTATGGAATTAAAATAGGCGGTAAATCGGAAATCACTGGAGCATGTAATCAAGGCATACTTGTCACCAGTCTTACTCTTCTCACAAAAATTCAAGATGGCAGACAACGATCGTCGTTGTTTCGATTGCGTTGCAGTTTGGATTGTGTTGCAGTTTTCGTAGTACAGCAACAAAGATTGGGTTAAAATTTATTTTAATGCACTTTAAAGAACTTTAATCAAAATTTACAATTACATTAGGAAGTGGCTAAGTAGGCAGCCGAATTAGCAAGAGTAGACGGCAGAATCTGCCGGTTGCCTAATATCTCTCACAATAGAGCATAGTATGGTGCAATACTCTGTATTAAAAAAAACAATCCAAATTGTGAGATAAATATAGATAAACCAGCTGATCCACTTACCTTAAATGAGCTGTGAACAAGTGTTTCATCAAGATCAATGACTACGCACTTCTTTCCCATGTCCTGATGCCTAATTGGAGGCAGTAGATATTTGCATAACTGTGAAATACAAATAATATTAAATATTAATCAATAATCAAAAGTATACTTTATCAAATTATAAATAATAGAGGAAAATATTATGCCCTTAGCAGAACTCAAATTCACGTCTTTGGTATTCTAGTCCAATTTGTAAAACACATTTCTTCTTACTTCGTCGAATTATATATCTAAGCTGTTACGTGTTGAATTTTTTTGCCGTTGTAAACAATAATTTACGTCATGGATTTATACCAAATGTCTAAAACGTTTTGACCCAAAAATTAAGATTATCATAAAAAAACAATTATTGTTTGTTATAATTATTTGAAAGAGAAAGTTATGTCCTTACTAAGAAATTTTCACATTATTTAAAAGAAATATTATTCTTAATAAATTTATGATAAAACCATGTAATAGATTCTATAATAGATTATTCAAAATATATAATTCCATTCTTAAGTAGTAATGTCAGGCATGTACGCTTGTCAAAAAGTAAATACTTTTGGCATTAAACTGTTCAACTTTTTCCTCAATAACAAGTAAAATTTGGTCAATCATTTAATAGAAGTATTATAGTACGCAGTTAAGAGCCTTTTTTGGTGTTAAGATAATGCCACAGGAACTTATAAAAAACTGTTTATGAATTATTAATGATTTACCAATTGGTGGTTTGCAAGTAAGCTTACAGTATTTTTATTTTCTGTTTGATTTATTCATATACTGAGAATAAACACCAGGGATAAAGCGATGGTTTACTGTTTGCGGTTGTATTTAGACATTTCAACTTATATATTTAACAAGTTTTTTCGTGTAATTCTCTAGCTTATTTAATAACAAGCTTATTTCAGAAATAGTTAGACAGGTCTTTACTAGTCGATCGCTTTCGTAGAATAAACTCCAAAAAAATCCTCACTTGTTCAATATTTTTAATGAATTTTTTTAATTCAGATCTTTATTACTAGCAATGACTAGCAGTGATTTCAACAACTCTTTACACATTTATGTACTAGTACGTCCAAGATCTCGTAATACTTATTAATTTATTCAAGACAAGTCAACGCAGGGAATAATCGAATTCACAGGTTAGAGAAAGACAAACAAAGGAAGCCGGAAAAGATCTAACCCTGGAACTTATCCAGTATCGGACTGCACATTTTATAGTTTCACAATAGTAAATACAGAGAGTTAATTTATTTCAAGTGTGCCTTATTATGAAATCGGCATTGAAATGAACTAACTCGGTTATTTGAAGGTCAGTTGTTGATTTCTGAATGATTTGACCGTCCTAAACAATTCGCCACTAAAGTTGAAAGAAACTAAAAAACAAACCCATTACAGTACTTTATAAATATTACAGTTATAAGAGTTGTGTACAGTTGTCGAGAATTCAGGAAACGACAGGAAAAACCTTCGAAACTCGTGCCTTGTTTCCTGAGCTTTGGCGGTTAAAAACTAGAAGACTTTCCCGACTACACTTCAATGAAAACCATGAAGACAAGACGATCGTCGGGTCGAATTGCAGTCGGCACGATTTGGAGATTTGCATTGATAACAGCGATAACACGCTTTATTTATACATTTCTTGCCTTTTGATAATGTAGAATCGATCGAAAACCAGAAAGAAAGCACAAACAATAACGATCTAAGCTCCACATGAGCGCAAAGAAGAGCAAGTAGGATTTTACCTCACAATGCAGGCGAAAGATCAGAATAGTTTATCATGATATTACAACCGGTAAGAATTTTTAAAAAGCTGGTTGCAAAGTGAAATAACGATCTAGAATACCCAATTAGTACTGAATAAGAAAATTAACTCACCTTAGCATCATTTTCGTCGCTTATGGTGTTGGCATTGTGATTATGGTTCGTATGTGTAACTGCAATACATGGAGTTCCAGCAGTCGATTGAGCTCCAAAACAGCAAAAGAACGACGAAAATATATTGCGATTCCTTGGCTTTTTAGTTACCGTCGAGGGAACTACAAAAACAAAACCCATAAATACCAAAAGATTAAAGATTTAACTTCACTAATGAAAGTAAAAGATATCGAAATAATCCATGTTTGGGTCGAACGACGATGTTTAGGTCGTGCTATGTGCTAAACTAAACCCACCGACGATTAACGAGAAGTTTATTGCCGTTGAAACAACATAAAGCTTGCTCCACTAGAGGAAATACTTAGCATCAAAACTTCATCAGGTTTTAGGTCACTTCATTGTATCAATCGAATGTCATCAACATTCTCGAAGCGGTAGAAAAACCCAAGAACAAAATCGAAGCTCGAAGCTCGCGCGCCGAGAAAAATGTGCAATGCATACTTCGCTGCAACTTGACTTACGTTTTTCATGAGTGTAGGAATTGCTCACTTCAAGAGCTTCATCTTCTTTATTGACTTGTGTTATAATGGACGTACTGTCCATTGAAACCAAGCCTCGTTGAGGCGCAATTTTGACTGTCCGTGATCCAAATATTCGTCGTAAGATCTTGAATGTTTTCCCTCAAATTATCCAAGCAGTTCCTTTGCTGTAGTTAAATTATGGGCTGCCATTTTTCTCGTTTGATTGACAGAAATTTGATGCTGAATTGTTTTAATTCGACCGCTGATTGGTCAGAAAATTTGAATACATATTTTCGACTTTTTTAACGACGTTTCAAGTTTATCATTTACATTCTTCCAGGTTTTTCTTGTCAGGTATCAGGTATCAAATATCCCTAACTATTCCTCCACACCGTCGCTGTTGTATTTCTTACCAATAACGTTAGAAAATCGTCAATCGCACATCAAGAAAAATGCATATAGTCTCGAATTTCAGTTTGGAAAAAAAAATGAAACAAATCGGGTTGCAAAAACATGCCGAATGAATTAAAATCGTATCTTTCTTTAAGAAAAATAAACTAATACTTATGATTTTGTTATGAGTCAAGATTGTTTGTTCGTGTTTTTCATTTACATGTTTCTTGAATCTTTCTTTTTCTCCACTTCAGTGACAACCCCTCCGGCACTTCCCGGCTTGCCGCCCGATTGGCGCATGGTCACATGACTGTACTGGCATACGAGCCCGGTATCCGGATTTCATTTTATTAATTTCCTTTAGCGACCTCCTTTACATCCTGGTCCATTCACGCTATATTCAAAATCATTTTCGTCTAAAACCTTCCCGGTAGTATTTCAAACAGCGACGACAAAAAAATATACTTTTTGACTAATAGCGGCAGTTCATTATTATAATCTGTGAGAAAATAAGAAGAATATTGCTATAGCAATATGCCCATTTCATCCTCCAGAGCACCCTGTCCCCCCCCCCCCCCCCCCCCCCCCCCCCCCCCCCCCCCCCCCCCCCCCCCCTCCCTTCTCCCCGTCATTATGTATTCCCCATGTTAAAGGGTTGATCAAGATTTTGTTGTTTATTGCATACTGAGCCCGAACTGCATTATCGGTGATTTGAATACAATCAGCAAAAGGTCACATATAATTCATGAAGTTTTCCTAAACTTTGTCTTGCCTATAATTTCTTCAGTCATTTACATATAAATATAATAAATTTCAAGCTTATCGAAAGCAGTATACAGGCATGAGACAAAACGGTCATCAATTATTATAAGACCCCCTCCCCCCGCCCTTTGCGGGTCACTAGACTTTCAAGGGGCCCCATTTCTCACCCATAACCCCTAGTAAAGTATGMATTATAAATAAGAGAGAATAGAATAAAGGCATTTTATTCAAATGGTCATTGTGTAGTTCCCCCCACCACTCCACCTCACTCCGACATAACAGCGCAAAATATATATGTGCAGGGACTTTTTGTTGAAAAGCAAAACCGTTTTGTGGCTTATTAAACTATTTGGTAAGATCTCCAAGCTAAGATGAAATTGTTAATTAATCACGTGACTGATCAAGTGAATCAATAAAGTACATGAAATCAATTTAATATTCATAAATGTTTCCACACTGCAACTTGCCGGCTGACAGGAGAGCACGGCCTGACCTGGCCTTCTTACGTCATCATGAACGTCATACATCGAAAGTTTTAAAGATGTCATATTTAATTACTGTATTACTGAAAAAATAAATTGGTAGTCCTCATTTTTCACAGAAGTCTAGAAAATAGACGAATAACTAGTTAGCATTTGAATTTTTTTGTTTAAAATTAGAAATATAAAATGTTGTGCTACAAGTGTGGACTTGAAGCCTTCACGTTATTTGCAATTCTATTGCAATGATACACAATATACATATATATGTAATTTCGATTTGTTCCCATTGTCAGATTTTTCTTATTTTTCCTCTAAAGTAAGGCATTACAAAGTATTTTTTTTAACGAAATAAAAAAAAAGGGGGGGGGGGTACCCGGCTGTGTTTTAGAGCTATAAGAGATTAAAGACTTTTTTATGATATTTTGCGTAGAAAGGATGCGCGCGAACAATATGCCCATGAACGGTCGTTAGTAATTTTTCCTAAAGCATCCACTATTTTGCATTTGGGAGCTGAGAATCAGTAGCACAGAGACAAGTCTAGTTAGTTCACACTTTTAAGGCGCTATTTCTCTGCAACTTGTCTCGCAACAGCTGCGTTACGACACAAGTTGCATGAATGTTTACACGGTGCAAAGGAGACGCAAACAATTGCTGAAACTTGTCTCGCAACATTTTTTTTTCAAATTGCATTGTAGGTTACACGCTGCAGTGCCCCATGCAACTTGTGTTGCAACGTCGTTGCGAGACAAGTTGCAGAGAAAATTGCTTCGTGTAATCGCGCCTTTAGTGTTTGAGAAAAATGCATTTCATGAAAAAGATCAACTTTATTAATATTTATCAATATTCATATTATACAAACATTGTGCTAATGGAGGAGAAGAGCAACTTTTAAAGTTGTTAATGACACTGACAAAAATAAAGAATCTGGAATTAATACGCGATTCTCCTATAAGTTTGATCGGGAGAGAGCCGACGTTGTTCAACGATGCGCGCAATATTATAAATTTCATTGTGTAAACACACTTTGCACGCTGCCATTTTTTTCCACGTCTAAATAAAATTTAAAAAAGAATAAGTAATTGCTCGCAGGTGTAGTAATCTTGTCATTAGATGGGAATTATTCTACCATGACACTTGAGTAAAGAGATTGAAGTTCATCAGTAATATGTACAAAGGGGAACATTGAATTCCTACTTCTATTCTCTTCTGAGGTTTTCCAACCTTGATAGAGGAAAAAAAGAAATCATGTTACAATGGGGAAATTCAAATTCTTTTTTGTTGTTGTTGGTGGTGGTGGTGGTGATGGTGATGGTATTGGTGATGGTGATGGTAGTGGTGGTGGTGGTGAATGATGGTGGTACTAGTGGTGGTGCTAGTGGTGGTGTTGGTGTTGGTGGCGATGTTGGTATGGTTGTGGTGGTGGTGGATGTGGTGATGTTAGTGGTGGTGTCGATGGTAGTGATGGTGCTGGTTGGGGTGATGGTGATGTTAGTGGTGCTGGTGGTGGTGCTGGTGCTAGTGGTGGTGGTGGTGCTAGTGGTGGTGGTGGTGCTAGTGGTGGTGGTGCTGGTGGTGGTGGTGGTGCTAGTGGTGGTGTTGGTGCTGGTGCTGGTGGTGGTGCTAGTGGTGGTGTTGGTGGTGCTAGTGGTGGTAACAGTGGAGGTCATGGCGAATCTGAGAATCCGGGGGAGTGTAGCGGTATTGCATTTACCCCTCACTACTCATGCTTTGGATTCAATTCAAGGTTTCTTCTTTTCAAATATCCCCACATGGTAAACTTTAATTCACTCTGTGAGTTAGCTGTGCCCTGAATGAGACCAGTTCACAGGCTGCTTCAAGGTTTGGCAAAAGTGATGCATTGTATTTTGCAGGGCAGTCCTAACAATTGCTTGTTAAAGGGGAGTCTATAGGCGTCCCTAGGTACAGTATATACATACCGTGCTTGTAAATCAGCATCAGCATCAGCCATGGCAGGCACTTTTGCTGCACCACCCTTATCCTTGTTAGCAATGCCAGATGCTGCAGCTGGGATATCGGATAGCTAGAATAAGAAATATAGACATAATCAATAACTTAGCAAGACCAAAAAATAGGAAATATATTGAATTGCTGATGGTGGATGGATAGATGGATGACGGGATGGGTTGGGATGAATAGATGAATGGGTGGGTGGGAGGCGGAAGGATGGGTGGCTGGATGTGTGGGTGGGAGGATAAGTGGATAGATGCATGGACAGATGGATGACAGGATGGGTTGGGATGAATAGATGGATGGATGGGTGGGAGGTGGAAGGATGGGTGGGTATATGGGTGGGTGGGTGGGAGAATAAGTGGATGGATGCATGGACAGATAGATGATGGGATCGGTTGGGATAAATGGATGGATGGATGGATGGGTAGGTGGGTGGGTGGAAGGATAAGTGAATGGCTGGATGGATGGATGTGTGGAAGGATGGATGGGCAGGAGAATGGGTCAGGCAGACGGACAGGTAAACAGATGGAATAATAAATGGTGGGTGGATGGATGAATGAGAGTACAGCTTTATTAAAAAAGCTATAGGATGGCATGGTGTCAGTGGATGGCCACCTTTAGTATTGCACACATTTTAAAGCAACAAGCCATATTACCTCATCTGTTAACTGGAGGCCTAGTTCATCAAACACTTGGGCTACAAGTTTGTCGCTAAAATACAAATAAAATGAGCAAACATCAAAATGGAGCTCCATAGTAATAGAGTATGGGCAACAAAAAGTTAAATACTAGCTGTAGAGCCAACTTGAACCTTGGAGAAGCGTTTCTTGTTACATGAAACGATGACAAAAAAGTTCATAATAGACATGATGCAATAGTACTCAGAGACAAACAATAATTATTTATGACATACTGGTCCAGTACATGAAATAAACTATACACTGAATGGAAATGGATTGACCAGCGACTGACTAGCCTCTCATTAGTCATACATGTGAAAACACCTTCATGGCTCCATGTGAACACAATGCTAGTCAGTCGCTAGTCGGGCAGAACAATAGTCACTAATAACAACTGTTATTCATTTTGATTCAGTGTATAACAGAGCTTAAAATGACAGCAGGTAAACAGTCGATTTTTTGTCAAAATTTGTGCTTGTCTGGCCAAATTGTCACTTGTCTGGTCCTATTGACTGGTCGTAATGACTACAGTACATCCAGCTGTATTGAACAGACATTATTTCTCTCTGTATCAGTATAGCATGCATTGGTGCAATTTAATTCATGTCAATAACGTTCATGTTGAAAAATGTAAGATGTTACCTTTCTTCATCRTCTTCTTCATCTCCTATTACATCATCAACAGCATCACTCATCATTTCTTCTTTCATGTCCATTATTTCAGCCTAAAAGACAAAAAAGAAAAGAAAAATTCATCTCTAAAGTGGATACACATTTGCAAATTATTACCRTATTTACTTATTTTGAAATGTTTAAAAGCAACGCTGTGTTTATTAATTTTGGGGGGTTTCATATGCTGCATTAATTCGGGGGCGGCGTTTATTCAAGGGCGTGATTCTAATTGAAAAACAGTTTACCATATACATAATATGTAGCCAATGATTTAATACAAAGTGAGTACAAACATTTTAAAAATACGAAATACTGCATTCCATTTTTTTTTTTTTTTGTATGCAGCAATAATTCAGGAACAGCACTTATTCTGGGGCAAGGCTTATTAACGATTATGGTTTTGGGTGCTGCACTTATTTGATGGTGGCATTTAATCAGGGGCAGCACCTAAACCAGTATGGTAGTCAAAATGTACACTTTGATTTGAATACTGACCTGTTTTTCAAATTCCATCATGATCTTTTGTATTTCTGGTAATTTGAGTTGCCTGTTCATTGCAACCATAGCCTAAACAAAGGAACGTCAGTGAGATCTATCGTCAAAACATTTATTGGATTTCTATACTTGAAATACATATAGATATCACACGTATCTACCTCATAAGCATCAGCATTTTTTGAGACAACATCTCAAGACTTTGTACATAATGTGCACATTCTTCAGTACATCTCAGTTGTTGAGTTTGAGAGGCATACAGTATGACAAAAATATAGTGGACCATTTTAACATTTTATTTGATTTTTTCCAACCCCCAAAGTCATGGAGGTTGAGTGGGGGATATATCTGTTGTATAGGTGACTCAAGGTTGAGAAAGGAAAAGGAAAGTCAAACCCATACAGCTGTAGTAGTCGCATTAGGCTCAGCAAATGATGAGTAGAGGAGTTGTATCAATCAGGTCAAATTTACCACAATCTATCTAGTGTGTGAAGAGTACCTTAGTTACTCCCTTCATTGCTTGTGCCATGGCATTAGTAGATCGTAGAGTCTGCAAGAAACAGGACATTAAATTTGAAGCTCATCAATTACACTATGTACACACAGCTATGTAGTTCCAGTTTGAAATAATCCATGGCATGAATAACAAAATGTTTGTACTGAGGCTAGGCACACCATGTACCATATTTGCTATTAATTCTCTAATCCATAAGTATGGGTGCACAAAGGGGTAGTGCAGGGGAACATGCAGGGGGAGGTGGGGGTAAATGGAGTTATAGACATTCTTGTAGACTGAACTATAATGTTAAAAACTATAAGATGGAAATCACTTTCAAGATAATAGTAATATTTCACATATGATAACATTATAAAATTCTCATGTAAAGAGAAGAAAAATTTAATTAATCACCTGAATTTTAAGCGACACAGCTTGGATATTTGCTCTCATTAAAATGAATTTTTTAACATATCTTCTTGTTCTGACCAGATCTTTAGCCATGATTTTAACAGCATCCTAATATCAAAAAAGGTCGACTATTAGTAAGCTCATTATTTCAGAAAGGCTGGGATATTCAAGCCTTAGGAGTTATGGGAAAATGGGATAATATGGTATATGTATATAKTTCAAAAGAGGTTGTCATTGACAAAGGTGATACGCAAAAAGGGATATATGAGTCATTCCAAAATCAAAGAAATAGCTGTGATGACTTACAAGTGCTTCTGCTTTTTAAATTCTCATCAAGAACCTGATGGATGAGTCTGATTCAATGTTCTTTGTATTCAACGAAACCATTCTCATGTCGGAATGACCTACTGTATCTACATTTTTTGAAATAGGTGTATATGCATCTCATAAACAAATGATGCAAACATCGATAACAAGAGTGTTGGCGATGCCAGCTGCTAGCAGAAATGAGTGTCTTGGTCTAAATGTATGTTACTTTATAATGCAGCAAATTATCATGTAAAATGCACACTCTGATTATTTTGTCAAGAGCTGATTCATATGACTGAACAGTGTAAGTTTTGTTGACAGTACCAGCTGATATGCACAGTCAAATTTGTGAAGAAGTGTAAAAAAAATATTGAGTTAACTACAATGTAACTGATTTTTTTCTAAAGTATATATTAACACAGCTTATTCTAAAGTATGTAAAGTAAAGTAACTATTATTTAACATCGGTGCTATCTAGCCCTCTGAGCTACGTAGCTGGTATTCCAGAAGGCTGGTACTGTGCGTGGTACCGGTGCACACTCTACCCTTTCTCTCCATCAGTGCTTTGTTTTAACAGTATTTGAAGTTAAAACTACACTGTAAACAGATTAGAGAATGGTCAAAACAGAAATGGATGTCCTGAGAATCAAACAGTTGACTTCTAGCTCCTGAGGCCACACTAACTAATTCTGCAAAACCTGCTCCTAGATATAATGTATGGCCTCTGTTCTGTTCTGTTCTGTTCTCTCACATTATGTATGGTCACACTTAGGAARCACCAAAAGCACTCAAGAAGTGTAAGAAGCACTTCTTTCCCATTTCTTTCATGCTTGCTCTAGAGACCTACATTCAAGAGACATACAAGCACAGTACTTACCATTTGACCCAATTTAGCCATTTTCTTGATATCTGCAATAACTTTTTTCTCTTGGGCTTCAAGCTTACTACGTTCTCTATCGAGATCTCTACAAAAGTGTTTCGGATGTTAATCATCAGTTTATTTTCTACTCATAACCAAATAAATAAGTCTTCAATAAGTTTAGTTTATTTTACAGTATAAAGAATATTTTTGAGTGAAGATCCAACAGACTTGATGATTTTAATAAAAGTGGTCTTTAAATAGCTAAAAAAAGTACGAATGCTTGTGAAAGAAAGAGTATTTAAAGTTATCATTGTGCATTTAAATAAAATTTAAGCCTAAATCTTAAAATTTAACCTTGTACGAAAACTCAATATAGTCCAAGACTTAGCTTATTAGAAGCCATTTAATCACTATTGATAAAATAATTATTTATAAATCTCTAGGATTTTTTATTTTATCATCAGTAATGACTCAAAACTCATAGGAGAATGGAAAGTAAACTTCAGTTATAATCAAGATACAAAATGGCGGCACGTTCAAGCTTACCTCATCGCTCGATTTAAAGCTCTTTGATTCTGTTTTAGCATCTCCTCGGGAGTTTTCTTCCTCCCGAATAAAAATTCCAACGGCATCTTGATATATTTGATAAATTATAAGGATTTTGAAGACAGAAATTTATCCTTTTCAAACTGTTATTGCTCCGAACTAAAAACACTGGGCTAAAAATATAAACAGACGTCATCGACGAATGGATCGCGGGCTCGGAAGATGGATGACGTCAAACATTGTTAAACATTACGTAAGGGATTTTTTTCGAATCTTGACGTCAAGATTTTCACTCTTTCGTTATAAGTAGTTTAGTTTAGTTTCATGATCAGGAAGGTTTTATGAATACCCTTTCTTATACAATTTAATGTATAAGAATTAAAATTCGTCAACCTAAATTGTGACTATCTGGATACAAATTACAGCCCATCCTTTTCAAAGATCTCGATCCTCCCGAAGTTGACTAAAACATGTCATTACCTGTTAACTACTAATTTTAGGTCAGTTATTTGTGAGTTAACTATTATTTTTTGGCTAATTGTAAGTTTACTAATCCCATTGGCACCCTCAGTAAGCAATATTCACGCTAACACCCCCGCTGATCAAGTCTATACATAGAGAATACGTTCGGTGCCTAACGACCATATGGGAACTAGATAGAAAGGGCTACTTTAATGCCTTGCAACACCAAGTATTAAAGTATATTTATATTAGTTAGAGCTGAGTGGGGAAAAAAAGAAAAGAAAAGAAAAATGCGAATGCTGATCATTCACGCCTCGCCCTATCCCATGAAGAAATGCCATTTAGTTCACTACTCAATAACGTTATGTTATGATCGCAAATCTAAAATGCAGTATATATATATTTAGTATATACCAACTTGTGTACTTCCTAAGRACGCGCGCTCTCATTGGTTAATTGGAGGTGAATATTGTACGATATTCACCTCTGAATCTCGGAATATTGAGTCGGCAACAAAATGGCATCAGCCGACAATCGTTTTGCTACAATTTCCGATGGGGAAATTGAAAAAATGAAAGTAAATGTCATTCCTGTCAATACTAAAAAGGCAGCGAAGTATGGCCTAAAAGTTTTGCTAAAAGTTTTGCGTGAATTTGTCACGCAAACAAAAGTTTCTGTTTGTTTGTTTTCATTGAATTATTGTAAATAAATATAAGTTACTCTGTACACAAGTTGGTATATGCTAAAACAATTATTCGCCTCAGGCTCAGTGAATATCGGAGAATATTTACCTTGCCGCTCGAAGACTCGTGTCTCGGTAAATATTCCCCGATATTCACTTCGCCTTCGGCGAATAATTGCTAAATATATATCTATTGATCGTCCCACAGGCAGCCCAATCTCGGTTTTCGTCTGTATGTATATTGTAGCCTGCGTTCCATCCGSCCTTTTCTCTACGAAGAAAATTCCGGATGTGACGCAGGCTAGTATATTGCGAAAATTCGATATTTATGAACCATTCTTTATTTGTAATAAAATCGTTCAATACCCTTGTACTCCCCTCTGGAACAGGGTCAGGGTTCAGTGGACTCAGCGGCACATCCCTACCCTAAACGGGCAAGAGTTACCCCCACCCCTCCCCC